AGAATGGGTGAGAAATATACACCACAATATCTTGTATAGTTTGCGCTGCATTCTGGGTAACTATCAAAACTTTGTTTCTTCACAGACTGCTTGTAGGGACTTTACACGTTCAATAACACTGTCAGTACCAGCAAATGCTGACAATATTATTGATCGTATGTGGTTAATATTGATGGATTGATGTAAAATATTGACAGTGAGCTAGATTTCTTTATTTTCGAACATCAGTATCCCCTACAGCGATACTCATGCTTGAAAATCAACAAATCCGGATTACCGTCAATAATATTGTCAGTATCCAGTATTGATACTGACAGTATTATTGACTGTGTAATGTTCATAATATGTAGAAAACCGGGCTGAAATATCAATAATAGTAATTGTGTAAGGTTGTAAAAATACTGATGATTCGTACTGTCAATGTTAATGATTCAATGATACTGATCAGTATTTTATTAATCGTGTGAGATTCGCATTAAATGTTACAACACTGATCTTTAGTATTTACTGTCTTATGGTAAAAGGTTTATTTCAAGTTTTGCAGATAGCAGATATAAATAAGTTTTACACAGATTTTGTAACTTCAGTCTAGCTTAAAAGCCTTGAATATGACTTTCAAATGATACAATTGAGCTAATTTTGATAACGAAATGTTTGCATGTATAATTGATAGTATTCCACATTTGTCTCCTATTCTCTATTCCATAATCACAACCTCTTTTTTACCTCTTCAGTTTTTTATTACGTTCGTTCTACGCATATATCGTAAACCTATCTGTACATAATTAGTAATCTCTGTGACTAACGATCATGTATAATTAAAAGTAATTATGTTACAGAAATATCTTCTGAGTTTTAATAAAAACAAAATGATATTCCGTGACCCCTTTTTTGTGTCTATTAATGTCATTATACATAATTTAAATAACTTATAATAAATTTATCAAGAAATGCTTGTCACAAAAAATACAATTTTTTTTATATTATAATATAACAATTTTATATAAATATTTCCTTAGGAATTTAATAAAGGAAATCAGAGATTATTTTGAGTGTGTTATAAAATGAAGATCATCATAACGTTGGTACGAGATGTAAAAAAAAGAAGTGATGAAGCAATGACCCATTTGAATGAGTCAAGATTAAATCAAAATAGAATAGTGAATACTTTATTCTGTTATGAGAAATCAGAACAGAACAAGTCTCGCGTGGGAGAAGCCGGCAACCTCCGGCGAGCCAGTAATTGATTACGTCACGATGCCGAGAGGAGGATCACCCCGCTGGAGAACAAGAAGGAAAAGGAGAGGCCGACTATATAAGTCGAACGGGGTGGAAGAAGTCGGACGGATGATGAATGTGCTGTCTGAGCCGTCGCGTCAGCGAGGCTCTGTTGCCCGTTTGTAAACGAGCTTCCTCATTTTTTCGCGGCTACGTGCGCTGCCAAAAGTATCAAACTGTCTGCGCGCATTTGAAAACACTTCGCTCATCGATCCTCGATTAGCAAAATTCACTGACCATTCGCGATTAGATTTTCTAACATATTTCTTTTTTTCACACACAAAGTAGAGTATAATCGTAAAACACGTTACTAGAATTATACTACTTATATAATATGTATGCATGAGGTGTCTTTTCAGAAACAGCTGCGTACGTTATAATGAGTTGCTGGCGCTGAGTTTGATAGCATAGAACAAATACGTCCTTGACCCATTCGCCATAGATTCCCTATCTACACTAGATAATGAAATAGTGTAGTGGATATACATTTTCAAAACGATTACCATTTACTTCTAATTGTTAGACATACGCAAACACTAACGTCGCTTTTGACAAACTTAATGCAAATCTTCAATATATTTTTTGTTATATAAAAATCTAATTTGATATTTTGAAGATCATTTACTATAAAACAAACTTTTCCGTTCCCCTAGTATCATCTGCGGTATTTTAAACTATGACTTATGCACCGGTAGCAAAAAATTAAGTAATTTAAATTAGCACTAGAGATGTGTGTACAATCTAATAAGAACGTCCCTTCAGAGATCTATAGAAACGGTCCGGAAAAATTCCACGCGCGATCGATGATGCATCACGGAAAAGGGTGTTGGGGCTAGAAAGCGAG